GATTGCTTTTTCTATCTGTATCTTTTGTGTTTACATATGAATTTTAGAATTATCTTTTCAAGTTCTGTGAAGAATGTATTTGTGGGATTGCATTTGAATCTGTAGATTAGTTACTTTTGCTAACACAGCCATTCTTACACATTCTGCTAGTCTTGGAGCATGGAAGGTCTTTCTGTTTTGTAGTTTCTTCTTCAGTTTTTTTCTCTGGTGTCTTAAAGTTTTCACTTCAGAGATCTTTTACCTCACTGGTTAAGCTTATTTCTGTACCTGCATATAGCTTTTCAAAATGTCGGGTAGATTATAGTCATAGCATTATTTCTAAGGAAGTAACAGAGTAAAGTAGCTTTTTAAAATAAACTCTGTAAGAAACAGCATTGTAGTGTGCTCAGGATGTTCATTCTTTCCACTAACTCATCTTTGTCATCTTTGTCAAGGATTATTTTGCAAAGAAACTTTTGAATAAACTTTGACTTCCTGCCTGTCTGCTTTTTCTCGTTGCCACTTTCCTTCTTCTAGTTAATAAAATATTTATATCAAAAGCTATTCTTTTCTATGTACTAAATATTCTAGTTAAAGAACTGGTCTTAAATAAACTACATACTGGATCTTTTTCATATCTTTTTGTAAGAAAACAATACAGATCTTAATATTTGTCAATTAATATTTGATTGCAAATGAAAGGCTAAGAAATTCTTTCAAAAACATTGGTTTTTCAAAGTCATTCTAACTAAAAAATATGTGAGTAAAGAATTTTACTCAAAAATCATATTATAAAGTAAAAAGAAAGATATTGAGTTTGTCTTTATACTTCAGGAGCTGATCATCATGTCATGTGTTCCTCTTTTATTCTGAAGTTAGGACTACAAAGCTAAGTTAGCAGAAGGAATCATTTTGTCAGTACAACTTGAGTTTTTAAAACCTCCTAGTTATTAATAATTGTTATTTACAATACTTAAACCTGACTGTGTGGTGGCCTGTGTAGATTCTCTAATTTGGTTGAAGATGTGTGGCAACAGGGTTTAAATAACTTAGGAGTTCCGAAACATATTTCTTATACTAAAATGAATATTCTATCTCTATACATTTAGCCAGCAATTGAAAGGAAAATCATTTTAACACCCTATATTAATGTCTGTTTTTGAGATAGAAAACCTACACATATTATAGTGCAAATATTGTGCTGTTAACCCACCAAGAATATAATGCCGCATGTTTTGAAATAGTTTTTGTTAGCATGACAAAATGAATGTTAATTAGGAATACTTGGTGTTTTCTCACATAAGGAACATGTCTAAGGTAGTCAACACAAAACAGCATCTCATCTTCATTTCAGACTTTCTTTAGAACCTCTTCTAAGTGTGTCCTGATATCCAGCATACATTTGTCTTACTTGTTTCTGTACTTCCTGTAGTCACACAATAAACTTCCTATATAATTTCTCTTATTCCTGTCATGTTAATAAGATTCATCTACATTTTCTATCTAGATATGGTTTATAATACTACACTGCAACTTATTCGTTCTTCTGTTCCATTGTTGATAGTCTTAGAATTGTTTCCACTTTAAGGGTGTAAAGATTCGCTGTGGGTAATCCTGAATCTGTCTTTTGGTGAATAGGCATACACTTCTGTGGCTATACTCCTAGAAATGAAATTGCTTGGTTTGAGTGTATGTACGCTAAATATGAGTAGATACTGCCAAATACATTCTAAACCACTATAGCCATTGCCTCTTGTGTTGTTTTATTCAGTTTAAGTACCCCTTGTAACCAAGAGAAAGAGATTTGTTGTGCTTTATGCTAGCTAATTCTAGGCCAGATTATAATTCACAAAAAAATGCAAGTAAATGAAACTTATTTGGAGATCAAAGAGATTAACTTGACTTCTGAAATTCCATAGAGATAGGTGTCAGGGGCTAGATCTAAAAGCTGAAGCACCTTTCCCCATTGTCTTGAAAACATGGGGTTTTTTTTACACACCTAATATATCCTGATTACAATTTACCCTAACTCCTTTAGTTCCTCCTCCATTTCCCTCCCATCCTGATTGACTCCCTGTTTCTTCTTAGAAAACAAATGGGCTTCTAAGTGATAATAATCAATAAAGATAAGATAAGATAAAACAAAAACTGACACATCAGAATTCAGTAAAATAAACAGGAAAAAATAAAATAAGAAGGAATACAGCCCAAGAGAGAGCACAAGAAACAGAGACCCTCGTATTTTCACTCTCGGGAATAGCATAAAGACACTAAATTGGAAGTCATATACACATAGGACCTGGTGCTGACCTATGCAGGCCCTGTGTATATTGCTTCAGTCTCTCTGAGTTCATTCTTGCTTTGATCGTGTTAATTTAGAAAGCTTTGTTTCTTGATGTGCTCCATCCCCTCTGGCTCTTTTGTTCCTTTCACCTCCTTTTCCTTAGGACTCCCTGATAGAGACTCCCATTTAGGGCTGAGTTCCAGGTATTCTTACTTTCTGCATAATGTCTGGCTATGGGTCTTTATTTTTGTTTCCATATGCTGCAGGAGGGAATTCTCTGATGAAAACTGAATAATTCACTGATCAGTGAGTATAACAAAATGTCATTAGCTGGTATTTTTTTTCTTTTTTTTTTCTTTTTTTTTAACAATAGTAGTATTTGGTTTTACCCTATGTCCCTAGGCTATTCTAGTCTCAGATTATTGATCACCCAAGCAGTAGTGGTTATGGGTTCCATCTTAAGGAGTGGGCCTTAAGTTAAATCAGATACTGATTGGTTGCTTCCACAAGTGTAGTGCCCCAGATGCCCTATCATATCTTGCAGGCAGGACAGTATTGTAGATCAAAGCGTTTGTGACTGGGTTGGTGCTTATGTTTCTTTTTTTGTATAAGGCAGCGTAACTTCCTGTACCAAAGACGTTAGAACATAGGGGTGAAGGCTCTATATACGCATTGGTTCAACTTCTACATGTTCAATGAGTTATATAGGTGTTGTCTTCAGCAATGGGAAGAACACCCTATAACCTTGACAACAGCCTGGGTTATTTAGGGATTCCCATAGGACCCCTTTGGCCAACAGTGCTATTAAATGTAAACCAATCCCGGGACTGAATCACTTGTGTGCCTGATGGCAGAAATTACCCTGATTGGAAAAATTCTGAAAGAATTCACAGGTAGAAGAAGGAACATAGAGACAGTATAAAATTAGTTAAGATATTAGTCTTAAGATATTGATCCTTTCTGGATACCTTGCTCATGTTAGTTAACCCATATAAACTTCTCTAGCTTTAGTTATAAAATAAGACTATCTCTCAGGTCAAGTAAGATTGTAACAGAATACTTAGCTTTAACTATCCCATTTATTATAAACATCTCTTATACTGTGCTCTGCTCATCTATAGCCCTTTTAGCTATTTCTCATTTTAATCTCACCCCAAACACACCTACTTGAGATGCTTTTTTGGTAAAAAGCAAAATTTTAAACAGTGGCCTTAATAGAAGTTTCCTTTTACTTTTTTTCCCCTATTAATGATTTAAGTAGTTCTACAAAGTTTTCTTTCCTTCCCTTTCCCTTCACCTTTTCAAAAGAAGTAGGAAAATTGCAACATTTTTCTTAGTCTTGACAAGATAACTGACAGCCGGTGTTTGAAGTTGACTCTTACTAGATAGTTCAATTTTAAAGTATGAAATATATTCAGCTTTATATAGTAACTTGATACTTCAAGAAATTTAAGGAAATCATTGACCGTTTGAATTAGAGTATGCCTCTAGTGCCTCCTTTATTATATAAATGATGAGAGAATGATAGTTCTATATTATCTGATTAAATACCTCCAAGGGCAATTTCCCTTTTAAGTAAGTTTTCTAACAAGAATTGAATGGATTTGTTATATAACATTGTTCCCTTTTAGCCCCAACACTCCTACCCCTAAAAAACCTTTTCAGAATAAGATGATCTAAGGACAGTTAAGACTTCTGGAAAGAATACATGTTTATGGAAACTCTCAAGAGTTGTTGGAATTAGACCAGGTGGCGGTGGCATACACCTTTAACCCCAGAACGCAGGAGGCAGAGGTAGGTGGAGCTTCATGAGTTCGAGGCAAGCCTGGTATACAAGAGCTAGTTCCAGAACAGTTAGGACTGTTACACAGAGAAATTCTGTCTTGAAAAACAAATAATAAAACAAAGCAAAACAAAAAAAAGAGTTGTTGGTATATATGCATAAGAATACAGAAAATAAGTGTTTCGTATAAATCACAACAGTAAAACCTGTATAGGTTTCTTATAGTCTTATTTACCAATGGAAGTTTTGAGAGCCAGAAAAATTTAAGTACAGAACTAACATAATTTTACAATGAAAATTATAAAACAAAAATTGCAAATACCTCCCATGTTCATGCATTAGACAATTTAGTATTATTAAACTTACAGACTCAATTCAGCCTCATCAAATAATCAAGATTTTCTTACCAAAGCTAGAAAAGTAATCTCAAAAGGAAAAAAAAAGTAAAAAGAATAAAGCTATAGGTACCACAATACCTGATTTCAAGCTGCTGTAGGAACCATAATAACAGAAACATAAAACTCGATACATAGACCAATACAATACAGTATGAAACCCAGAATCTGAGAAAGCCTTACAACTGCAACCCCTTAACAAAGGTTTCAAAAACACATTTGAAAAAAGACAGTCTCTTCAGTAAAAGGTTCTGAAACCATAGTGTCTTTCCCTGTACAAAACTCAACTCAAAATAGATAAACAGTCATTAAGACCTGAAATTATAAAAAGAAAACGTGAGTAAAACATTGAAGATATTGATTAGTTAGTAATCTTCTGGATAAGCCCAATAAACCAAAATTGATATTATACATCAATCTAAAATTTTTTGTACAGAAAACAGAAGAGACAACCTACAGAGAAGAAGAGAATAGGATATAGGGATAGGAAGAATACTGAATTCATACAGTTCATCTGGAAGTAGATTAATATCCCACAGCTATTAAGAACCCCAGAACTGTATTTACACGGCAGGATTTACCATGATGGCAAAAATGGTTTTCCCTAGGCAAGGCTTAACTGTTGCACTCTGAATGTGCTGACTTCTGTGATTTTCCTAAATGTGGGAGATGCTGACTGTATAATTTACAATAGTGGAGACTATTTGCATTCTACCATGAAGTATATGAACTGAAAATCTTAACAATTTACCAAAAAACGAGTTTTTCAATTAAAAGGCACACATGTTACCGAGTATGTGGTCAATTTTCGAGAAGGTTCCATGAGCTGCAGAGAAGAAGGTATATTCTTTCCTATTTGGGTGGAGTGTTCTATAGATGTCTGTTAAGTCCATTTGATTCAGTACCTCCAATAAATCTCTTATTTCTCTGTTAGGTTTCTGTCTGATTGACCTGTCCATTGTTGAAGTCTCCTACTATTAGTGTGTGTGGTTTGATGACTGCCTTGAGTTCTAGAAGAGTTTCTTTTACACATGTGGGTGCCTTTATGTTAGGGGCATAGATATTCAAGATTGAGACTTCTTCCTGATGAATTGTTCCTGTTATGAGTATGAAATGTCCATCTCCATCTCTTCTGATTGATTTTAGTTTGAAGTCGATTTTGTTAGATATTAGAATGGCCCCACCCGCTTGTTTCTTAGGTCCATTTGCTTGGAAAACCTTTTCCCAACCCTTTACTCTGAGTAGGTGTCTGTCTTTGTGGTTGAGGTGTGTTTCTTGTAAACAGCAGAATGTTGGATCCTGTTTTCGTATCCAGTCTCTAAGTCTGTGCCTCTTTATAGGTGAGTTGAGTCCATTGATATTAAGTGATATTAATGACCAGTGATTGATGACTCTGGTCATTTTTTTGGGGTAGTAGAGTGTATGTGTTTTCCTTCTTTGAGTTGTGCTTGTGAAGGGTCGCTAGATGTCTGAGTTATTGTAGGTAGTGTTGTAAATATTGGATTCCTTGGGTTGTGATTTTCCTTCCAATATTCTCTGTAAGGCTGGATTAGTAGCTACGTATTGTTTAAATTTGTTTTTCTCCTGGAATATTTTGTTTTCTCCGTTGATAGTGAACAATAGCTTGGCTGGGTATAGTAGTCTGGGCTTGCATCCATGGTCTCTTAGTTTCTGCAGTACCTCTATCCAGGACCTTCTGGCTTTCATGGTTTCCATAGAGAAGTCTGGTGTAAGTCTGATAGGTTTACCTTTATAAGTTACTTGACCTTTTTCCTTTGCAGCTCTTAATATCCTTTCTTTAGTCTGAATGCTTTGTGTTTTGATTATTATATGGCGAGGGGATGTTTTTTTCTGATCCAGTCTATTCGGTGTTCTGTATGCTTCTTGAACCTTCATAGGAATATCGTTCTTTAGGATGGGAAAGTTTTCTTTTATAATTTTGTTGAGTATATTTTCTGGACCTTTGATCTGCAATTCTTCTCCTTCTTCTACTAAAAAAAAAGGCACACATGAATTGATAGATCATAAAGGAAAAATGCAGTGGCAGATAAGTATATGGGAAAATGCCTGTGTCTTTATCCCTTAGAGTAATGCCAAAAGTGATAATCTCACTGTATTTAGAGGGAATATTATAAGAAGCAATGTTAGAGTATGGAGGAAAGCAACCTGTATACATCATTGGTCAGGATGTAACTGTGGTGGCTTGGACAAGAATACCCCTCATAAGCTTATATATATTTTCATGCTTAGTCCCAAATTGATGAATTGTTTGTAATGATTAGGAGGTATGGCCTTGGTGGAGGAGGTGTGCTTTGAAGTTCTAATGCCCATTCTAGGCCCAGTTTGTATCTTTTGGTGCCTGCTGCCTATGGATCAGGATGTAAAGCTCTCATATACTTGCTTAGTGCCATGTCTGTTTCCCACCATGATGATAGTGGACTAACTCTTTAAAACTGTAAGCAAGTCCCCCCAAAATGCTTTCTTTTATGAGTTAGTCAGCAATGGAACAGTCACTAAGACACAATGAAGAAGAGTTTGAAACTTTTTAAGAATCTAAAAGTAGAGCTTCCATGTAACTCAGTTATTCTCCTTGATATATATTCAATGGAATGAAATCAGCACACTAAAGAGATACTATTTGTACATTTTTATTACAGGCATATTTATAGTAGGTAAGATATGAAATCACCTCCACAGCCAAGCACTGATCTGAGCTCCTGGAGCTTAGTTAAGAGAGGTGGGAGGGATCATACGAACAAGGTGGGGTCAAGATCATGATTAGGAAAATGACAGAGACAATTGACCTGAGCTAATGGGAGCTCATGGACTCTGGACTGACAACTGAGGATCCTTCATGGGACCTCTGAATCCTGAATGTGGATGACAGTTCTATGACTTGATCTGTTGTAGTGGTCTCTGCAGTGGGACTAGGATTTATCCTGCATGTATGAGCTGGCTTTTTAGAGCCCATTCCCTATGGTGGGATACTTTGCTCAGCCTTGATACAAGGAGTAGGGGATTGATCCTGTCTCAACTTAGCATACCAGATTTTGATGACTCCCCAAGGGAAGCCTTACCTCCTCTGAGGAGTAGATGGGGCAGGGAGGGGGTGGTGGTGGAAGAATGGGACAAGGGAAGGGAGGGGGAACTGAGGCTAGTATGTGAAATAAAAAAAATGTAAATAAATAAAAAAATGATATGGGAAGCCTAACATGCCCATAAAATAAATTGGAAAGTGAAACAGAGTGTACACATAACAAGGTATTGTTTTGCCATAAAAAAGTAAAGAAATCCTGCCATTTGCAGCAAAGTGGGTGGAACTGGAAATCATCATGTTAACCAAATAGGCCAGACATAGACGAGTACTGTGTGTTCTTTCACATGTGGAAACTTTAAAAGAGAAGAAGAAGAAGAAGAAGAAGAAGAGGAAGAGGAAGAGGAAGAGGAAGAGGAAGAGGAAGAAGAAGAAGAAGAAGAAGAAGAAGAAGAAGACGAAGACGACGACGACGACCACCACCACCACCTACACATAGAGTAGTAGTTACTAGTGACTGGGAAAGGTACCAGAGTATGTGGGAGGCAGGGTTAAAGAAAGGTGATTAGATATACACTATGTACATATATGAAAATATCACACTGATTCCCATTAATGTGTACAATTGTTGGGTGTTATAAAAATAATTGTAATCCTGTTACTGTACACCACCCAACTCCTCTCCATATTTAAGGATCTCTATGGTTCTCAAATCAGATAACTTTACTCCTTTACTCTGCTTTCATTACTTTTGACATTAGAGAGGGGGGCAGGAATTGCAAGTCAAAATGGAAGAACGGATACCTTAAAGAACATTTATTTAACTAAATTAATAGAAATAAATTTAAATCTAAATGCCTAGCACTGTTCCATTCGGATGTATAATAGTAAATGCTGGTATTCCATTGGCACAGCAGCTGCACCTGAATCTACTGCTGTTTCATCCAATAATTGCTATTGGATTACTGGCCCTGATTCTCAGGCAATGGCCTGACGTTTGTGTCCCACTGTATTGCCTCCTGCCACTGCCACCAAATGTAGTTTTTAACTAAATCTCTATCATTCTATTTATCAATGAGACTCAGGAGTCAGAGACTGGGGTAAAAATCTAGCTCATAGAAGTTGAGGAGCAACTAGTAGTTGTAAATCATAAATATGGGTTACCTTAAGCCAATTGCCCACCTGTGGGCCAGTACTATGTGTAGGTAATTGAACTGGGCAAGTCACCAGGATCTGTATATAAAGGCAAAGTTCCTGAGACGAGACATCTTGGATTTGAAAGAGTAAACCATTTCTAGTGTTTCTATAGCTCATAAAAGTAGCATTCCTAGTATTGACGACATTAGAAAGTGGCGTTTGATAAACTTATTTATTAAATAAAATTCTCTTGTATCGTAAAGAAAAATTATATTTTATATAGGGAGTAGAATAATTGCAAAGCAGGATTTAATCTCTACAATTGAACTTCAAACCTTAAACTGTTTACTTTGTTCTAAATTATTCCATGGTATACTGTTATAGGTAACACTTTTCATAAAGACAACATGGCCATTTGACCTATATTGGTCATTTTAATGACTACCTGCAAAGCTGTATGGAGTTTTTGGGTGCTTCCCATTCTCAGGAAGTTGGGTTGTAAAGATACTTTTTAACTAGTTCTTTCTTGACTTCCACTTAGTTATTTTAGTACAATGTCCCCTTATTTATAGATTAATTGTGTTGTCTTATATAGTAGTAACTGAAGGTATATTCCTAAATGAGGCTGTGTGTGAGAGAAGCTATCTGCAATTATTGTTCTGTTTCATACATAGCCAAGTTTAGCTGATAAATTTCTGGACTCTTAAAAGTTTTGAAGAACAACAGTATGTTAGCAGGAAGGTTTTATTGGAGTGGTTGTGGATGACACACCACACAAAAAACTGCATACCTTGTTCTAATCCACACACAGTATAACTTTATACATCTCTTATATATTTGCCAATTTAGAAATAGATTTTTACACTTATAAATTTTTAAAGAAATTCTGATTATTCTTGTCCTACAGGCCCACAGAAAATAAATATGTTCTTTTTCTTTCTTAAGACAAAAGTAAATAAGTTATTAAAATAAATCATTATTTACTCTCCTGTTAATGTTGAGAACTTTTCAATTCAGTGTCCAATGCTGTCTCACTGCAGTGCTATTAATCTCATATCACAGATGTGTCTCACTGCTCTGACAGGACTTCACCATGATAAATCACTTTTGGGACTGCATTGTTTGACATTTTAACCAAATGAAGGTTTGTTCTTTTCTGTTGTCCAGGGTCTCTTAATTATAGCTGTGCATACATACCATGCTGTCACTTAGTTGTCCAGTTGCCTTATACTAAGGTTGCCATTGTACTGGGCAGAAGAGGCATAATAAGACCTTGTGGCCTCCTAGTTTTTTAGGTTGTCTCACTAGAGCATTCAAAAGCTCTGATGTTTTAGATGTCCACTTGACATTTTATTCTTGTCCATGTTCTAGTAGTGTGACCCATTTTGCTCTTCATTTCTGAAGAATAATGCGATAGAATTCTTACATAATTGAATAAAACAACTTTTTGTTTTTACGTTGCTTCCTTGACCTAAGAACTGGAGTTTGGGATGTGCCATGGTCTGGTTTTTGATTCTTAAGATAATTGTTTCTTATGTAAGACAC